TTTTTTTTTTTTTCTTTTTTTCCTAGAAAAACGATGGGATTGTGGAGCACCTGGCGGTACAGTAATCGCAAAAACAGCAAATTCATCGTCGTCAAATGCATATTTTGGTAAGTTTATATACATATGCATATTCCAAAAAGCAGATATAAATGTAAAGATTGTTAAATATAATTTTATGGTATTACTATTAAGTTAAAATTTTTTATCATTAATGCATCATTGTTCCTCTTTTTTTTTTCTTTTTTTTTGACTACAAATGATTATCAAATAAATATTGATGTCTAATAAATTAGTATACCTTTTTAACATCTTTTTTCTTACTCTTAAAATTTGAAGTTATTAGTTTCTAAAATCTTTTATAAAGTACTTACCGGACAGTTCTAATCTAATAATTTTTTTTCTTTTAATGGCATTTTCAAATAGCTTTATGCAAGATAAATAAAATTTATTTATTGTCATTCAAATTTTCTGTAGCAATAGACAGCAAAAAAAAAAGCTAAAAAGAGGTTTTTTTGAACATTTAGAAGTACAGCTTTTTCTTCTGTTTTCTTGATTCTGTCGAGTATTTTGAATTAGAAAATGAAATGACAAAAGTTTTGCCTATTTTTGTTTTGTTTTTTCTTTTTACCAGGCATAATAGTGAGTTGTTTTTTTTAGAATTATAGAACTAAAATGTTAAGAAATTGTTAGTTCTCCGAAAAAAAAAAGACAAAAAAAGTTTTATTTTATTTATTTTACAAATTGTTCTTTTTAAATTTGTTATTACCGTCTCTTTTAACTGTTGACGTTTTCAGCTTTTTTTTTTTTTTTGAATCATTTATTGTTGAAAATAGAAATGATAATCAAAGAAAAAAAGAAAAAAAAAAGTAGGAAAATTTTTATTGCTATTTATGACTAAATTTTTTTCAGTTAAGGCTATTAGTCGATCTTTTAGCTGAATTACCAATGTTGTTGTTTTTTAGTTGGAAAATATAGTTAAGAGTCTAATTAGTGACAATGATAAATCAAATTAATGCGAATTGGAAAATGTATTCAAAATTTCAGTATTCCAGTTTTTCCAATTGTTTGAACAATTTCTATGCTTTAAAAAAAGCTGAAAAAATGAACCTGGTAAAAAGGTGAAAAAAAAAAAGATGTTATTGCAGAAAGTTTTTTGGAAAATTCGTGGACCAATGCTGTAGCACGTAATCCGGTAACAACACTGTCGGCAGCATCTGTCTGTACAACCGCAAATCATAACGATGACTTAATTGTCGGTGCTACAGCTGCTGCTGCAGCGGCTGCTGCAGCTGCAACAGGTACATCCGGAGTTGTTGGAACTGTAACATCAGCGTTACCGAACAATAATCGAGTATCTGCACAACTTTTATGTGCACCGTCTGCCGGTGGAACATACTAAATGACGACGGATAAAAAATAATACGTTTTCTGCGTGTATCTGTTTGTGTGTGTGTGTGAAACTGTGTGAATGTGTCTGTGTATCTGTTTGCCTGTGTCTGAATATCTGTTTGAGTATTCGCGAGAGTGAGTTTATGCGTTGATAAAAAATGGCTTTGTGCTGTTAATGCTTTTTGGCTTTTAATTAACAAAAGACTTATTATTATTATTATTATTATTATTATTATTATTAT